TGTGTGTGCGCCAGCCTCAGGGATGTCTGGTCAACCTCCAGGTGATGAAGCTGCCCAAAGCCAAGCCGGAGATGAAGATGATGATCAGGCCGTAGCTGTGGGAGCTGAAGGAGGACACGCGCTGCACTGACGCCACGGCCAGCTCTGAGAAGCTGTTGATCTGTGGACACACACACACACACTTTAACTCAGCACCTCCAGTAAGTGTAAACCACAGGAACCACCGTCTGTGTGCCGCCTCTGGACCAGGTCGTGACTGAGAACCGGTCCTGGACGAGCCTACCTGGTGAAACAAAGGCCAGACAGGGAGCTGCTCCCCCTGCATCTGAAGAACCTACAGAGTAAAAGCTGTGACCACGGGAAACACAGAGCGGTCGGGCTGGTACTGACTCTACTGCTAGAGACTGGACCGGATGTGAAGGAACCCTGCAGCAGTAGAACCATCTGCAGAACCGCTGCCCTGCGTGTTGTAGGTTTAATCTGTCATCAGCCTACACTGAGTAACTCACAGCAGCTCTATGGCAGCAGCTCCATGAATTGCTGCTGAACGTCTTCATTCAGCAGCTTCTTCCATCTCTGGAGGACGTCTGAAGCTCTAGATCCTGCCAGAGTTAAATGAGAAGAGGTTCTTGGACTTCAGTGCTGAATGTGGATGTGTGTGTGAATGGTGGGCTCTTCATATGAACACAGTCCAAGCCATCCATCTGTGACATGTGGAGTCCCACTAGCTTCTACACATCATTACCTACACAAAGGGACTTTTATCAATGAGAGACTTTAGGACCTGACTTTCCAAGAACTGCCAGAATGTCTGCATTCTGGTGTGGAGACTGCTGAAGGCAGAGTTCATGTCTGACCGGGTTCTGTTTACAGAAAGCTTCTGTTGTGTGGTGGAGCAAACAAACGGGTCAGGAGGAGGAACTCTGTGGTCTCCAGGCTGACTGCTGGACGAGGCCCCTAAAGGGAGCACGCTATGGGTTTTAATAATAACCAAAGAGAAAACTAAAAACGCTTGAACTGATGAATCAATCTGGTTCATTTAAAATAAAGTTAACGTCCAGATCAGTGACGGTTTTTATTCATGCTTCTGTCTGGCTGCTGATTGGTCGCCTGCTCCCTCACACACAGACCAGTCAGTCACCATCCCAAGCTGACTCCCAGTAATCCTCAAAGCCACAACATGCTGCTATAACCAGAGAAAACTAAACAATACCAACGAGTCACTACACTGAATGAATGCAGGCAGCCCACAGAGACGCTACAGGATCATGAGTGTGAGGAACGCTGGAGGAACACACCCTGAAACGAAGCAGAAACAGCCAATAAAGTCTGACCCACCCATCCTCCGTGGTCCCGGATCCAGCCCAGGAGCTTTTTCCTGAAGAAGTCCACAGTCCACTTCAGGATCTCCTTCACCGTCTGGGGGAGGTGAGACTGCACCATCTGATGGATGAACACAGAGCTTCAGTAGAAGCAGAGCAGGCAGCAGAGTTACCATCTCCACCAAGTAAAAACCTCCATAACACCACAGAAGCTCACAGATGGGACCCACAGCATGGACAGACGTGTTCAGTGCACCGCGTCACCCAGTGTTCAGCTGGTCTGAATGGAAGGTTTCCATCGTACAAGTTCTACTAAACCAGGTGAAGAAGGTGGAGGTGTGGGCGGATTCACCTGCTGACACTTCAGCTGAACCTTTAGTACAGGTCCAAATACTGGAATAACAACTAGTGAGTCTACACATTATTCTGAATCAGAAACGAGGACTTTCGGCTGCTTCGGTGGGATTTAATGCAAACTGATGTACAGCTGCCCTCTAGTGACCGTTAAACACTGAAGCTGCTTCATGTCAGACGTTTCCCGGCTGGACTGCGATGTGCAGCAAAGAGAAGACGGCCCACCTTGACAGCCAGCTTGCCGGCCACGTAGAAGAGCACGGCGATCCTCTCCCAGGTGATGCCCTGCTCGATCACTTTGTCTGCCACCTGCATGAATCTGTCCGACTTGGAGCCAGAGCCACAGGCCACGCCGTCTATCGCGCTGCAGCAGGAGGTGAAGAACAGTCTGAGAAACCTCTCCTGAAAACACTCCAGCACACTCAGAAGATGAAGACTCACTCTTGGAACTCCTGGTCGTCCTTCATCCTGTCACCGATGATGCGGATCATTTTGCCCAGCTGGTTCACCATCTTCTGCTCCTGCTCGTTCTTCACAGCCAGCGGATCGAGGTCGGGAACGTCCTCCGAGGGCACATCCTTCAGCTCCTCCTCTATGACCCTGCAACACAGCAGACAGCTACAGCGAGGCTCCTCCCAAAGCATCACGTCTGCCTGATGGGGTCATCCAGCAGCTCAACGTGGACAAAGATTTATACAAACACAACTCAGGAAACTGACGTGGTTCTCCACACACCAACACC